AAACATAGACTGTATACATAAATAACTAATTACATGACATAACTAACATGCTAGCCACTGCGTTCCAAATACGAAGTTCACGTGGGGGCTCTTCTGGCTCCTACTGACCCTGGTTCCCATTGATTTAATTTAGAATATTGTCTCCACTCTCTCTGTAAATGCTGCTGTGAGCCTTGTCATTTTGGTCTTAAAATGTTCATATTAACGCGCTTTATATGATGATGATGATTTTTTTTTTTCTATTTCGCTATTCTGTCCATTAAAAAAAATATCCTATTCATAACATAGAACCTGGATCCAAATTTGCTCCTATAACCACGAGCATCGCAAGCTTTATCTGAGTGTGAACACTATGGGTGATGTCACACTCGCTTATTCCACTTCTTTATACAGTCTATATGTCAAGGGTGTCAAACTCAAATTCACAGAGGGCCAAATTAAAAACTGGGACTAAGTCGTAGGCCAAGTTAAATATTTATTAAAAAATTTCACAACATCTGCATGTTTTCTCTTATTTTGAGATATGCTTTTCTTATTAAAATAAATCTTTAATAATAGTTTTGCTTAAACACTGAATCCAGAACAAGCATAATATAAAATAATTTAAATTTTTTTAAAATAAATAATGTCTCTATAGCCTATCTGTAGCCGACGGGCAGCTCTGATACATATTTGATATGATCTCACGGGCCAGATATAATTATATCGCGGGCCAAATTTAGCCCCCGGGCCTGAGTCTGACAGGTCTGGTCTATGGGCTCAACTCACAGCAAAAAGGTAAACACAACAAATATAAACAAAATCTTATAACATGACGCAGGGCCAAGATTACTTGAAAGCACTATAAGGGTTTTGATCCCGGTTTTAATTTGGTCCCACAAGATTATTATCCACTGTAGATGTGAAGAAGAAAAACAATATATTAGAGGCACAATGTGTACGTGTTATTGTTGCACATAATTATATAGGCTCACATCTATAAACAGTCATTTGAACAATTTGAATGATTTTGTAATAATACATTGTGATCTGTCTTACAAAGTCATCTCAGAGACTATGTTTGAAATGTATTTTTTTTTTGTCCTGACTCATCCAAGTTATTCAGATGCTATTATTGCTCAGTAAAAATACATTTGGATTTCAGTTCTAAATAGTCCACTTTTTACAAAGAACCATACTGCGATCATTTAATAATAGATAATAGATTTTGTGAAAGGAACACAATTGTGATTTGTGGTATAAGGGAATAAGGAAGTCAATGGAAGTCAGTTTAACAAAAAGGGGGCTCTTCTTTGCAGCGATGTTCTCAATTGTATACATATACGTATATTTAGAAGGAGTATGCTGCTTCTATAAAATTAGTATTTGCTTTTATCTGATATCAAAGAGCTGCACACAAACCTATTAGGCCACCTTTTTGAACGTACTACACTGGGACTGCAGCAAGCTTTTCCAGCAAAATGTAGACTTTTGTTTGGTACAAATATAATTAGACTTATTTTTAAGATATGGCTGCGATGTTGAAGCTAATTTGTATTTAGTAAAGTACAGTCCTTGATGAGCTATTCCCACAGGCTGTGAGGCCCAGTTTGTATTTTGAAACGGCATAAAATCCTTGAATTAAACAAAACTCAAGGGCCTTGCACTTTCCAGAGATTGTCGGCAGCTGGATATATTGAGATTATAATAGCTGTCTCTGTGGTATAGTTCTCTCTCTTGTAAGGGACCACAGTAATTTGTAATTTTTCTCAGTCAATATAAGCGTTCTATAAAAAGGTCTGAGGAAGGCAGTGGCACAGAAAAAGTGCACGGACTAGCTTCTCATTACAAAGATGCACTTAAATCAAAACTACTGAGCAAATTATCAAACTTATTCACTAAAATGGCAGGTCACTCAAGGTGTTACATGTGATGAGGATATGAATAATTACAATTCATTATAACAGAAGTCAATACAATGTGGTTTTAAGCACAAAATAATACAAATTCCTAATAAAGTATGCAGGTTCTATAAGAGGTTTAGAATTAATATCTGTTCAGTAACATTTTTTGACAGCCCTACCCTACAATCAAATCTAAGAAACTGCTTTTAAATATCTTGTAATGACTCCTTTTTAATGTTGTATTATGTTTTAAAACATAAAGGCCTGGTTGAAATAAATCCATACATATAGAACATGGCATTACTGTATCCTGTAATGAACATGAGTGCTCTTTTATGAGACAAATGAAGTCAGATGGAGCAAATCCCCAGCAGACAGGAACGCTGAAAAATTCATAAAGGTTAAACTAACTGTTTGTTGAGAACGTTTCAATGAAAGATGGCATGCAGCTCCCCACTGTATACATCTGAGGCCGTGGAGGAAAACAAATGCGCAAATACACAAATACACACACTATATGGAGATTAATGTGCAAACCAGGAAGCACTGCACTCAAAGATATGTTATTGACCTACATTGCTATTCAAATTAATTTATGCTTTTGTAAATTGTGCAAAATGTGCTAGGGTGCATATAAAGCTATGTGTAAGAGATCATTGATTATTAATAAAGAAATGGCTGGAGGCAATACGTGAACTACTGACATTTACGGTCATTTACACACTTTTGAAGCTTATTTGACTAAATAAATTGACTTAACGTAATACAGAGCCCAACACACATAGTATTCACTGATAACTGTAGGTTTTAGGAGAGGTATACAAAAGACTGACACAGGCTCTTACATGGGAACGCTGTCATAATTTCTACTGAATATACAGTAATTGCAAAAAAAAATATGCATACCAACTTGTAGCAGGTGACACTTGTAGCTCTCTGTCCCACAGAAAATCTTTCAGAATTTAAGATAAACATGAGTCTGATGCGGTTGTACACTTGGCAGCAGCTTATAGAAATATTTAGTTTTTATCCACAATAGAGTGAAAAGTGAAATTACACACTAAATTATTATTCAGCATACATTAGCAGAGGAGGCATAAATAAATGTTTTAAACACAGTGCTTGAGTTTGCTATATAAATCTAATCTATGACACCCGTGGATCATTATGGTATAATTTGGACATTTTAAATCTCGCCTTGATTTAAAACGACTTAATAAAAGAAACTGACTTCCACCAACTCTACTGACTTCCACGTTAGAGAACTGCGGTGCCCATTGTGTGCTGACGTCTCCATAAACGTCCATAAACAAAGAGCCGTGAAGTTGTCAGCACCTCCCGATGAACAGCTGCAGATCAATCTAGTAAGTAGCAGATTTTTTTTTCATTTGTCACACCGCCAAATCCTACATGCATCTTTAACAAAAAAAAATTAATTGGAGAATGAAATAAGTACCGAACAGTGGGCAAACACTGGTGGTTGTGAAAATGGTGGTTGATCGGACCAATGGAGTACAAAGATCACTCTAAATACAACTTTGAGAGGGTAAATGAGAAGGTGTAATTCTTTATTTTGCATAATAGGTCAACTTTAAATCAAACGATGTTTGGAGACACCTGATGAATGGGTCAATGTAACAACCAAGTAACAACTCTAACACATAACCAGTTATTTTAGATTTAGGACTTAAGGAAACTTGAGGTCTAATCGATTCAAATGGAATTAAAAAAAGCTGGTCTCTGCAGTAGATCAATGAGGCCTCATATCCCACAGAGGTTTAGATAAGACAACTTGAAGGAAAGTGAGCAGCGTATTCTCTGTGGAGGTTTTCCAGGATATCACACTCTGAAAAACCCCAGAGTGTGAGGAGAACAGGCTAGAGGATTAAACGTCCCAACAGGTTCACAGATGATCAGAGGTGACAGCACAGTTAGACCACAGAGACACCAGACCATAAGAGGAAGAGAGGAGAGACTTGGCATTTAAGAACTTATCTGGAGACATTATGTTAAATAAGGTACTGTGGTTTTAAGATGTCAGTGTTTTAATAACTATCTACTAAGAGACAAAAAGGTGCATTTACAAAACCTTTACTGAAAAATGTATTCGTGGTTATGAGTTTTGAGTACTTTTGGTGTGACTGGTGGCAGTCAGAAAATATATAAGGCTACGTTTATATGATGACGGTCTGAACAGAAGAGGGAAAAGTGGCGTCACGCCTTCACTTTTTATTCCGCGTTTAGATGAGCATTTTCGGGGGGAAATCTGCGTGCATACGGTGACGTAAAAGTGTACAGAATTGGATTGGAATTTGATATGAATGCCAGGCAGCTATGGCTACATAAAACCCAAAACATGCTACATAGGTCTCCAGGAAGAACAGTTGATAGCTAAGGTCAATTAAATACAATCAATCAATTAATCTGCCCAGGCACTACAGGTGGAAATTAGCACTGGTGCTACAACCTGGTACAATGCGTCTCTCCTGTTAAGGTTAATGTAAACAAATAAATAAATAAATGTTTGTTTCTGTGTACTCTATGTATGTGTCATTAACGCGTACACGACGTGAGAAGATCTGACCAGAGTTTTGCGTCTTGGGCAGTGTAGACGGAAATGTTACGACGGAGTGTATTCAACTTATCCACTCTGGAGGGTGGTTTCAGAGTTTTGCGTTTTTAAGCCTAAAAAACTCTGTCACCGTCTAAACAAAAGGTACTTCTGATAAAATATTTTGTCGTTTTTACCCGCAAGCGTTCACGTGTAAACAGGCCCTAATACAGTAAAGCAGTTTGAGTGTCCCGAATGGTGCTGTGTAGATAAATCCAGTGCATTAAAATTATTATTCACTAGGTTTGTCACATAATAGTGTTTTTCACAATTGCTAAAAATAGATTGTGACCTCACATTGCAAAGCTTTATGGGATACCCCTTAAATAAACAAACGTTTAACTTTTCCTATACAGTTTCTGGTTTTACAGTGTTTAAATGCAGAATGTGAGCAATGTGCTGGTTCGTTTGTTTAAGGTTGTCTGTCTAGAAAAATTGTAGACGTTTACAACTAAATAAACTTCCAAACTAGTAAAATCAATATACAAATTCTGAACTCGTGTTACCTTTGGTGGCACAGCTGGTCCAGGGGCGTAGGGTGCCAGACTGGGTGGGACGTCTGTGATATAGGTCTTCTTGGGTGCTCCTTGCTGGTACCCTTGGTTTGGGGCAGGCTCTGGTCTCCGGGGCTGCTGCTCGGGATACCCTCCATGGCTCATGGGAGAGAAGCCCGGCTGTGGGGGTCCGTAGGCGAAGTCGGGACCCTTGGGCTGGGCGGGCATGTACTGGACCTGAGCTGGGCTGCGGATAGGGTGCTGATTGTACCCCTGTCCTGCCGGGGAGGGGTGCTGCTGGGGTCCTGGCTGGGCAGACCTCACCTGAATTTAAGTGAATGTCTTTAATATCACAAATGAAAATCTGCAAAGAAAGTCAATCTATCCATGTTTTTCAGAATGATGAAAAATTTGGACCATTGCCACAATAAATATTCAAAACAAAATCTTCTATATTTCGAATGGTGAAAAGACAACTATGAATTTTAATGAAAAGTAAGAAATAGTAACAATATTTGCCAATATTCGAAAAGCATTAAGGATAAATTTGTTTAGTCTTACCATCTCAGAAATATTGATGTTTACAGGTGGCTATAATGTTTTGTATATTGTACTCCAATGGCTCACCTGCACATTAAAAGTGGGCTGGCTCGGGGTGGATGCAGTGGCGTAGGAGGCGGGCACAGGCTGAGGGGCAGGGTGCTGCTGGGACACTGGTTTGGTTGACGGGGCAGAGGAGGGGGGAGTGGACTGGACTGCAGCGGGGGACTGGGGTTTGGGGGTGGACTTCTTGGTGGCGGTGAGAGGAGGCTGAGTGGGGATCACCATTCGTTTGTAGCCGGTCACAGGGGCATTTGGAGAGGAGGTGGCTGACGTACCAGAGTTCTGCAAAACACAATATAGATTATGGTAATAAGAATATTTATTTCAGCTGTATTTTGATACAATTTCTTCAACTTGGTCTAGTTGGTGGGTGGATGACTCATTTCGCTGGCTTATTCTCTTAAATAAATTTCATGTTATTATTTTCTCCTCTCCCTACATCACACCTCAAACCAAACTCAGACAGAGCTGTGCAATCACATTTGTTTATTTCAGTGACCCATGCGAAATTAAAGAGCTCACTGGTCACCTAATATTTAGAAAAAAATCATCTCATCTCAGAATAGCATAGTTTAATGCTTTGCTCACCGATTCTACAGAAATCCACTGCATTTTCCAGTCAGCTGAGCTTTGTTTTTCCATTCTTTTTTAAGCATTCATGCATGTCCCTGATTGGCTAATTCACATATCGACACTGTTGGGCAAGTTACTTCAAAACTGTAATGTGTTCCTTATTACTTGTTACTGTCATTTCAAAGTAATTTGTTCTAAAACAATATTACTGCATTTAAAATGTAAGGCATTACACAAGTATTGCAGCACTTTTAAGTTCCTCTCAACAAAATAGCTGTCGCTGATCATCAAATAACAATCAGTGAGTGAAAATGCCAAACTTTTACACCATATATGGACTGAACCAGGACTAAACCTGGACTGAACTGAGGACTGAACCAGGACTGAACCAGGACTGAACCAGGACTGAACCAGGACTGAACCGACTGAACCAAGGATTGAACCAGGATTGAACCAGGACTGAACCAGTATTAAACCAGGTCCGGGCCCGTCCAGACAATCGGAACCGCTGCTATCATGGTGATTTGAGTGAATTTGTATAAACCATCACTTCAATCCAGGTTCAAAAAGCATTGTAGTGAGCATTACTGACATTTGTACCAAGTACAATATTACCATTTTTATCCCTGTAATGCCTAACATTACTGTGTTACAGCAAAAAGCAATGCAAAACAGTAATTTGTTACTTTTATAACGTGTTACTCCCAACAATGTACATCGATCACACCCATTTGAATTTGAGGAGATAACCTGTAACCAGACTCACATATTGGTGAAGTGTGTATTATGGATCTCAAGCGAGTGTTCAATTAATTACATAGAGCCTGATGTGGGATATTTCAGTTTACTGTAAGGTAACTAACACGCATGAACTAAAGGCACTTGAAATCCAAACAGTAGTAATTCATATGTTTTATAAATGTACACAAAAGACAGTCCATTGGAGCTTGCACACATTATACAAACACAACCATGTAAAAGTTACCATCTCTGGGTCTATTAATTACACCGCTGATGATAATGAGACGGTTTTATTTAGCGACAGTTTAGCCTGCTCTGACACAGTTTGAGTCAATGCGGTTCTCCCTCGACAGCACTGGCCATCCACAGCGTGCGGGCAGCAGTAATCTATGGCTAATAAAGCAGGAGAGCGGGGCATAAATAGTGGGGCAGAGGGCGCCCTGACAGCGGATTGGCAACAGCACATGACACTTGTGCTGAGTCGGACGGCCCGGACGGGAACAGAGCTAAATCACAGAGATTTGTGGAGCTGCTGTTCCTGAAGAGAAGGCTGTAAAAGAGCTACACGCCACTGCAGAGAGAGGAGGAGGAGAGAGGGCTACAGACAAACACTGATTCACGGGGACTTTATATGGACTACGGAGGACTATAACCGTCAAAAGGAACTGCCTTTGGGTTTAACTGGGTTTACAGGAACAATAAAACACAGCAACATTCTTTTACAAAATAAGAGTGGAGTTCATTTGGTCACAAGAAGTTTGAATTTTTATGATTTATTTTCTTAGATTTGATCACCTTTATTCTTACTTAAGTTAATCAAGCGTAGACGAAAGAACGGAAACTTAAAGCTGCACTGTGTAACTTTTCCGTGGGAGGGTCTAACAACAAATTGATGTTACGCTTTGCCAGGAAGCTTCTACTACACTATGACACTAAATCTGTCTTATCTTTCTCCACACTAAGAAGCAGGTGATGCCAGCAGGCCAAGTTACAGGTCAGATCTGTGGAGAGGAGACAACAATGCATATAAGAAAGCATGTTTTTAAGGTATTTTTGAGGAATAAAAACAACTAAATGTAAGATTAGCCCTACTGTGGACCATTCCAGGCAATCAAAGCAATAACATTTCCATCGAGACAAGAAGAGTTATAAAGAAAAGTGGCATAGTGCACCTTTAATCTCTTCTAAACTCTGATTAACAGCATGGTGGTCTTGTTTTTGCTGAGGTCCATACTGTTACTCAACCTTTTGTGTAATTTCTGTGTCAATTTTGAAACATTAAGTCCCTTTGGCATCATAATAATAAATTAATAAAACAAAATACTTCTCCATTCTTCCATGTACAACTCACTTTTGCATATGTGGCTGTATCTGGCATTGCATCTTGCGTTTTATGGACATACCAGCGTCAATTTTCTGTATGCAAGTTAGCTAGTTGGTTGGTTGACTCCAGACTAAATACTTTCAGCAGAATTTCAAATAGTTTTGGCTACTCCTGCTACACTAGTTCCAGCATGGGGCCCTGTATAGGCTCATATCTCAAACTTGAGTCTTGAAAAGCAGTGGACTCCTCTGACCCAGTGCAGTTTTATGGAGACATCAGCTGCGCCCCGAGTGTGTCTCATGTAAGTAATCATTGTTTTTGCCCTCCGCAGCACAAGATCGGTGTCAGACGTCAGGCCGCTCTAAAAAGGGCCCGTCATTAACCTTGGATGGCCTTATTAGGTTAGAGCCTGCAGCCAAAATTCACAGTCAATTACTAAATCTTCAGCACACAGGGAGCAGAAAGCCAGACTGGTACAGACTGGAGTCACTGTAATGTGTTTTTCTGAAGAGATGTAGTATGAACTGGGACAGAGGCAATGATTTTCACTGACCTCTGATCTGCACTCTGCTAACCCAGAACTGAAATTGTGTAGAAACATGTGAAATTGTGGACTGCTTTCACATAACATCAGAACATCCCAGATCTGCTATTCATGGATTTCAGCTTTCTGTTACAGGTGACGTTTTGAAGACTTTTCACCATTCAAGTTGTCAATTGCTATGTCAACATTATGAAAGCCATGGACACTTTAAGGCTGGGGATCTGTTATCTGCTTGTTTCTTTGGAGATGTCATTGCTCTGCCTGGAATGTTCCACAGTATGATATTTATTCAATTACAGGTGGTTTTATAACTCAAAAATACCTAGAAAAACAGGCATTCTGACTCTAAGCAGGATTTCCTCTCCACAGATCTGACCTGTAACTTGGTCTGGTTTGGTCTCCATGAACATAGAAAGGTTTAATACTTCCAAAACAATAATTCCAGAGAAAGAAATAACATCTCCATGAAGAAAAACATTTGACAGACCCTCCACCAGAAAAGTTACACAATGCACCTTTAAAATTATGCTAGATCTGAATTCTATGGTGGAGTTTGCTGTCAGATTGCAGATGTTTTGACCTTGTTTATGGTTCATATCAATGGGATTACTGGAACTTTCATGAAACTAAAACTGGAAACATCGTAATGCCCATAAAGTTACATTATGCAATATTTTAAATGGGAAGTGACTTGGTCAAGTATTTTAAGTTACTGCAGTTCTGATGTTGATTTTAAAATAGAAGTTTCGATTGCAGAAGTAAAAGTAGCTTTGAAGCTTTTCAGTTTCGACAATGTGGCAAGAGACAGTTGTCCTCAATGATTACGTTATATTTTGCCATGAAATATCGAAAAAGTTACAGAAATTACAAACACTGAAAATGATCATTTCTATAACTGATTAGTCCCTAGAACTGCAGAAGAGCTGTAATGGGACAAAAACCATTATAGTCTTATAAAATGCTGTATCATCATCTGAAACCAAGCAATTAGCAATAAGAGCATTACAAATTTCTCTGATCTGGCCAAGATTTTAAAACTTATATCTGGTTATTCATCTTGTTTTCAGATTTATTATCTACTTACTAGTTCTGAGACTGCATGGACAGATAATTTCACGACTTATAAGTAATTTTCTGACAGATTTAAATGTTTATGTCTTAAATTTTGGCCAAGCTTTTTTTTTTTTTAAATCAGACGTTCTTGTAGTAGCAAGAGTGCTGCTAGAGTAGTAGTAGTACCAGACTTAATTAGTAGTAGTAGTAGTAGTAGTAGTAGTAGTAGTAGTAGTAGTAGTAGTAGTAGTAGTAGTAGTAGTAGTAGTAGTAGTAGTAGTAGTAGTAGTAGTAGTAGTAGTAGTAGAGGTCGGACAGGATACAATTTCCACAAGATGAGACAAGACACGAGATTGAATCTATGAGAACAAGAGATTTTGACATGATTTACAATATATAAATTGTGCAATCCATTTCCTGAGTTTGATCTCACCATTTTTTATTTACTTTTTTTTTTTTTTTTTTTTTTTTTTTTATTTATAGATTTTCACTGTTTTCACTCCATTTTATCCAATCCAAATGTAAAAACATGGGGGGGGAAAATCTGGAGATAATTTTCAGCATATGCACACAATCTTGTAGCAATTTTGTCTCGCGAGATCTTGTAGGGCTAGTTCTTGTCCCAACCCCAAGTATATATTTTTAGGTTCCAGTACTAATACTTGAGTACATCTTTTCCATACTTGTTATGTCTTTCCACAAATAAAAGTTCAGTTACAAGAGGTGTGAGCTTCAACTTTGTCTAAATCCCTTAATCTAATCTGAGTCAAAGGGGGGGCCCTGCGGACAGTCTCCAGTTCACTAAATATTCTCTCCTTCTGATTTGTGTCTCGCCGATTAGCGCCGATGTTTATTTAAAAACTGTGTCTGTCTGCATATGTATGGCTAAATCTCCACTATGCCCTTTAGGAAGTGAAATTAGTTCATTTAAATGTTTCATGGCTTTTAACAACTCCAGATTATTAATTTATCTGGGAGGCTTGAGAACCTACGCTAACGTTTACTTAGCCGAGCACTGGAAATGCAAATTGGGCCCTCAAAATAATT